AGCCAAGAGCCACGGACCGGTGGTTTGTGCTACTGCGATGAATGTCGAGGTTAGCGGATGGAAGTGTTGCTTCCGAGGATAGCTGGAGTGATCGCCGTAATCGCGGGTGGTGGTGGGCGCCCTAAAGGGGCTGGCGATCAGGTCGGCTATGCCTCCTGTGTTCTTGTTTTTGCCTGAAGCTGACCGGGGTAGAAGTCGCGAATTCATCGATTTTCTGACCGCTGAGTGCGTCCCGAAAACGGGGGGTGTTTAGCACAAAGAGGTCAGGTCAATTCCATGGGGTGCTAGTTTGACTTGTACATGTATTTCGGGTTCAGACCCTTCTTGGACATGGACCAGGGATAGATATCCGTCGTCATCGTGGACGTGCCTGGATAGAACTTTGATTCTGTGTCCATTCGCAGCTGTAAGCTGCTCAAGAAGGGCCCTTCTTAGTACTGTAGCAGCCTGTATTGTACAGTTTTCGCCCCCGTGGATAGTGTTCCTGTACGTCGTGGACTTGATTGGCCAACTCGCATCCGGAGGAAAGAGGAGCCAAAAGGGTCGGGCGTTGACGAGGAATAGATCCTTTTCCCTAACCTCGGGATAGTTATCTGTTCTCTTTACAACTCATAGCCGGAGGCCGGAGGATACTGAGGGCAGGTGGCTGTTCAGGTGAATATCGGGATAGGTGTACAACACGCAGCCGGACGGCTAGTGGATACATCTAGAGCGATAGGTTACCACCCCCTGGAGATAGCAACTCTGGGGATCCTTCCGATAGTTAACGTCGGGAGTGGCTTGGAACGATAGGCTAGCTACCTTGAGTTCCCCGTTAACAGGGATACTGTTACTTCTGGTGCAACATTACAACCTACAACTGTAAATATACAACTTCTTTCTCCTCGTGTGGCCTGAGCTAGTTACTGGAACGGGTTGCGCAAGTTTTCATTGGTTTGGACACTTCGCACATGATATATGCTACTCGAGCAGACGTTTTTTCCGTGATTTTAACCGGCGCTCGCTCGGTGTGAATGTGGCCCACACAATAGCAGGGCACTGGGAACGCGCACAGCAACCTTTTCAGCCTGGCGGACTTACATGTTTGGAACGTAGTCCTAAGGACGTGGCCTTGAAGAGCGACACGAAAGCCGTCCAAAGCAAAGACCCATCAAAAGCAATCCGACGGGTCAGGCGATGTGAACGGGGCTATAGGTCTTCAATTTGAGCTTTGGACAACTTGGGAAAGTAGTCCAGTCAGTAGGATTTCTAGCTCAGGGAGTGGATTCATGTTGCATGCTGTAGGTGCATCATCTTCCTCCCCGGCCGCCCGTGACGAACCTGGTGTTTTGGCTCAAGCCCTGCTTCAATCCAGCAGTTGTGGAAGCAGTTGTGGACAGATACACGACAAGATATTGCAAGCCTGCCTCCCTGGATTGACGCGCGCAGAATCATACAGAATCGCACAGCTGGTAGTGTGATAGCACTGTGTTGCAGCACCTGCGTCTGACTCTGCCCATGCCAGGATGGCCAGGCCCTTATGACCAAAGTAGCTCCGCTACATCTACTGCAAAGTTGCATGCGGATCTGTGAGCTGTGAGCGCTCAGATGCGCTGGCTGCTGTCCTGTGTTCTGAATGTTCTGAGGTGATCGTCCCGAGTTCATCATGAGGACCCGTCCTGAGTATTTGCAAAGGTCTTTTCTCAGCCTTGTTAAAGCTTTGGGAACTTTAGAGGCTTCGGTCCCTTCATGCTTGCTGCTCCCCCCCCTTTTCTCCCATATTGCTGCCATGTATGAGGAGTCGAACAGTAGCCCACACGGCTGCTCCACGCCTTGTCACTGCCTTGCTCAGGAGATTGCAGAGGTGCTTGTGCTCCGGAGCAGGGTCTGCGCGAGGAGGACGGTTCTTTCAAGGTTCTTCTCTGCTTTGAAGTGCCCCCGCAGTGCTCGCAGTTCTCGCGTCTCCAGAGTGTTGGTAGTTCCCTCGCAAATGCCCAACAGAGCTTGCCCACCTGGCGAATAGCAGGAATATGAGCAGTTTACAGGGCATGCTGACGAGGTCGTTGAAGGCAAAGAATGCTCCGCTCCCACATGATTCAATCAAAGATCTGTCCAGAATCGTAGATGTGCGCTGCCAACCGACACAGATCAAGCTGAGCACACGTAAGGCTAAGCGGAGGGGCCATATCATGCATTTGGGGCTTAGGCTCTTGAGACCGATATCAAAATTTCCTGGTTGTTTTTAGTTGAAGGGAGGATCTCATGTTGCACAATGTTTTGAGGATTTTTTTGGAAGGGTTCATCAGCCAGTGTACGTGATTGATACTATGACTTGGAAGGGCTGCTTTCCAGCGAGCCATATTTGGTCCCCAAGCATGTTGTTTGCTGGTGCTTTCACGCAGTTCCGAACCGTAATCCCCTTTTAAGTCCTAAGATGCCAGCGGCAGCAGTGTTTTAGACTTGTTTGGGGAGGGCAGGATTGAAACCAGTATCAGTGTATCAGGCAGGGCCCCCAAGCCACGAAGAGCTTCTCTTAGCCAACTTTGTAATTTGGGGCAGGAGGGCGACTCCCGCGCCAATGATCTAACGATGAAGGCCGTCTTGCAGTGAAACTTGCGTGTTTGGGCAGTCTTGTGCGCTTCTTTGTGCCATGTTCAAGAGCAAATTTATATTTGCTGGCTCTTCATGAATCGTTCGGGTCTATTCATTCTAGCCCAGGACCTGCAGACCGCAGGGTGAAGCGCCATTTTTGAGTGTTCATCGGCTTCGTCTTCGCTGTGAGGCTTGGCCTCCGCTGATGGCTTGCATCTTGACAGCAAGGCCCTGCGTTCTGCCACAGGCCTTCAAAGTTGTAGGCAAAATGCGCAGCAGGCTGGGTCTGCGCCATTGGAGATCTCCTGCCGAGGCTTGGAGCTTGTGGGGTTCGCTCTCGGATCGCTTTGTTTCCGCTACAAGCTGCGGGTGCTGACAGGATCCAGAGCAGATTTCGCTATGACCGAGGCCTGGGGAGCGGTGAGTGAAGACTGCGCTGCATTTCTTGGCATTCTGCTGTCCACAACAGAATGGTTGCAGTGCACTAGCTTGACGGCTACGCCGGCTAAGCTGACGACACATCTCATCAGTTCTTTACCTTTGAAACCAATTGGATGGGAAGTTTACATAGTAACTGATGTGTAACCAACTAGTATGTCACACGTCGCGAAATCAATACGCTCCATGTCGCTCTTCATGACATCCCACACTCGTGTACAGCAGACTGTCTTGATTCTTTTTTTTTGTCGTCGGTGCCGCTCTTCGCAGCACCACTCGATGATTGTTGTTCATCATCAGTGTTTTCACCCCCTGGCAACCCACTGCAACCACTATACATCCTGCTGGACCAGCAGGAGGCTCTTCCGTGCTGTTCCTGATGTAATGGCAGGGCTCCCTGGAAATTGAGTCTGCTTCTTCTTCGCAGATCCTTATCGTGTTGTTTGTCCTCATTATTCCTCATTACTGATATCTCGTTGCTTTGTGACAAACCATCAAAGAAACCCGCGGCCACCCGCTGTCCTACTTCACAGTTTACAAGTTTTGCGTTTGCGGTGTCGCCTGATTTTCTGAGTCTAGGGTTTCTATGTGTCCGTGGTTTATTGGATTTCCATGCTTTCTATGGCTTCCCTGCTTTCCGTACCAGAACCGGTTAATGTGACGCCCGCAGATGTAAATCTGAACCTTCCTTATGGGAATGCCAAACGAAGCTGTGCGTCGGAGCACAGATGAATACTGGCCCTCACAGGTAGCAGATCCAAGACTTCCTGAAGCACAAAGGTGGCAGGCGAGACGGATGGAGAGTTCATGGAACCTGCAACGCACAACAGTGTCTTTTTCTCTAGCTCGTGCTAGACACCGATGTGTTCCAAGTTTGATCTTTGGTGTTTATGACTCGCAGGCATCGAGGTTGTAGGCAAATGCTCCTGAGGCTGGTTCTTCGCCATGGAGACGTCAGGCTGGGCTTGGAGCTCGCAGGGTTCACTCACGGTTTTCGATTGTCTTTTTTGTTGGATCTTGTTCCCGCTGCAAGCGGTGCTGACACTGAAGGATCCAGAGCAGATCCGCTATGACCAAGGCCCGACATACATGTTTCGAATGCTCTTTGCATCTCTTTTGCCCATTGAAACTGTGGAGGTACCGGAAGGAGCGAAGCTGTGATGATGTGCCGCAACCTTGCCGGGTTTTCCGCTTGCCCCCACTCCGCATGTGGGCACCACGACCAGAAGCGTGTGCACGCATGCGCGCATCAAGACTCACTTTCGCTGCCCCCAAGTGGCCGCTGTGCCCTCGCTCCTAAAGGAGGCCGACGCCGTCCAGCTGGAGCGTCGCCAGCGCCTTCGTTTCCAGGACCTGCCCAAAAAAGGGCGGGGACGCACCAACGGGAAGCTCCGAACCTGCCCAGAACCTCTGAAGAGCTGTCGTCGCTCACAGCTCGCTCACGCTCACTCGCCTGCAGCAGCTGCGGAAGGTTGGGTGTGAGGACGCTGCGGAGGACGGCCAAACTCCTGAGCAGGGGGGGGGGCGGTGCGGGAGCAGAAAAGGGGGAAAAGAACAAAAGGAAAAGTAGTCATGTGCTGCTTGCCTTGCGAGGCTCTCCAGCTGGGGGTGCCGGGGACTTCAGCCCTACGGCTAAGGCATTGGCAGATGGGAAAGCTTGAGCGCTTTGCAGCTCGCCGCCTGCTCTTCGAAGACTTCTGCAGGTGCATCACCGCGTCGGCGTCGCTCCGATTAATTGAAGAGTGTCCCCTACGGCTCGGAAGGTGTCAGGATCCATCGGCGGGACGCCTGCCTGGACTCGGACGACGTGTGCGTGCAGTCCCTGCCCAGTCTTTGCTTTTGGCCAGCAGAAAAAATTAAACAGGTCGCGTCGGGTGTCCTCAGAAAGGAGGCCAAAGGCTCCAAGGAAAGCATGGCTGTTGCTCAGCTCAAGCCCGCCGCGCCATAATTCCGGCTTTGGGCAAGATAGCGGTTCGGCCTCCAGACATAGACCACGAAACTTTGAAAGGTGGAAAACAGCCACCATGTTCTTGTTGATGTTTGCTTCGACGACGTGTGTGAAGTCCCCAAGTGCAACATTGCTGCAACTTGAGACGTTGAAACGCCACTGACAGCGACATCAGTCGTACCGCTTTTCATCAAGCGAGACTAAAACAAGTCGATCGATAGAGTGCTCCACCCGAAAAAGAACAAGCCTCAGAGCTGCACTTTCGAGACCCCAACTCCAGGAGGAAAAGGACATGACCCATATCACCCGCTTTGAAGAGGGAAGCGCCCCTCACATCAGAAAATGTGCGGGCGGGGTCAAGACGCTGCATTCCCTTGTGTGAGGGTCGTGACTTTTAAATCTACAAATGATTTGTAGAAGCTCCGCGTACCACCGTAACTCAGAGCTGCACTTGTCATTTCTCGAAAGTCGGGCCAGTCTAGCCGGTTGAGCATGGGCTGTGGTGGGGGAACCGTCGAGTCTCGAGCATTGCTATGAGTCGCTTATGGGGGCCTGCCAGGGGCTCGCGGGACCCTAAACAGAGGCTTCGCAAAAAAGAAAGGTGAAACTTCTCCAGACGTTAGAGAATGCCTAGAGCATTTTCCGAGGCCCCGCACTCCGGCGAGACTCTGACTCCACGTCGAGCCGCTGCCTTGACGAGGCTTGCGTCAAATTGCCATGCCAAGAGTCCTTGCAACCAGCATCTGGTAGTCTGGCTGCTATGGGAAACGCCAGCGGCGCAGATCGTGTCTGCTTCAAGGAGCCAGCTCGCAATCGTTCAACTTGAGTTGGCTAAGCGAGTGCTCAACACTGCAGCAAAGCAAGTTCCGCAACGCAAGGGCTCCTTTCATGAAGCAACGAGCTTCTTAAGCAAAAGGTTTGGTTCAAGTGCTTTCAAGCTGCCACTTCTACTTGTTCTGCAAGCGACATCAGCACGACAGCGAGCTCTATCGAAGCTCAGCGATCATTTGCGTTTTCCATGAATTGCCTCCCCAGAGGTGCTACAAACGTCCTGGCCTTGATGTATCAGGGTGTTAAGGGGTACGGGAGTGGGCCCTCTGGGTGAACGGCTGCGGGTCTGTGACCCCAAGGGGGGGCGATTCGTTCTGCTTGGGTGCGTGCTGCAGCCGTTCCCTCGCAGCATCGCCCGAGCTTGCCGAGCATCGATGTTATTTGTGCTGGTATCAATCGTTCAGTTTGGACACCGACGCCTACATAGTACCCTACCCCTGTAACATATGCCACTGTTCCGAGAAGTCCCTTTGCTCAGCAGATCGGACCGAGTCAGGGTTCCGATGTGTCGCCTGCGCATGTTAGCACCATTCAGCGGATTTAGCGCCCATGTATTACTTGTGCGCGTCGCCGCTCGCAACCGCTGCCACGTGATTGCTCGCTTTCGTACATGGCCCTGTCAAGTAGACTCTAAGTAGACATTGCGTTGACCAGGCTGAGTTTGACAAGATGGAAGCTGCGAGGGTGGGCGGGCAGGGGGTTGGGGGGTGGTTAGACCTGGTCAGGCTTACCCTGAGCTCCCACTTCTCTTGAAAGTCCCAAGGGTACTTCTGCATATCTCCAGCTCATCCAGACTTATCCCCGGGCGATCCAGGCTTATCCCCAAACTGTCCATGTTCATCCCAAGTGCGTCCCAGACTTGCAAAACTATCCATCCCGGCCATCCGACATCTCAGTTGCAAGATGGTGGGATAAGCGAGGATCGGTCTTTGCAAGCCAGCCCCGTGCTTTCAACTTGCAATCAGCTGCTCGTGCTGCACGAGACGTCAGCACTAAAGTTCTACCATTGCAGTACGACTTTCCTCGAGGGCAGCAAGGGAAGGCGGGTGGGGGTTGGGGGTGGTTAGGCTCATGCTGACCTTGTCCTTTCTCGAAAGTCGGGTTGAGCTGGCAGAGCCGTGAGGCCTTCATGAACGGAACCATGTACAACTGAGAATGATAGTTGCAGAGACGAGCGCTGGTAGCGTCACCCAAATCCGAAAGAGCGGCGTCGCTCTCGAGGAAGCGTGCGGCTTCGGAAGCTGCTCGATCTTTGCAATCCTCCCGGGCCAGTGCTTTGGTAACGCCCTGGAGAACCAACCCTACCTCAACCGCCTGGCAGGGGTCTTCGACCGCCTCTGCTTGAGATTCTGAATCAGGGTCCAGGGACCTCAGTACTCCTCGATCTCGGATGGGAACTGCAGCAGTGGCAGAGACCACCTGCCAGAAGGTGATGCCTCCATAAGCCCCAGATCCACCAATCCATCGGCGTCCACGACTGCGTGCAGTGAAGAGGTGCGTCCCTTGAGTGGTCCCCAGGAGTGACGCAAGCACCAGCGCTCCAGGGCAGCGGAGCGGGCAGACCGCTTGGCGCGGGGCAAGCCGGTGTCGTTCTCCACGGCCGCGCCGCGCTTGGCGCGCTCCTTGCGGTCTCGCCCGGCATGGCGCAGCACCTTCTCTCGGTAAGCCGAGTCGGGTTCGGGAACCGACCCCCTCTAAAGGAAGGGGGGGACATTGCCTTGGAGCGACGACTTCTCTCCCTTTCCATCCCCTTGCAAGTCGGAATCCTAACCCTCAACTTCAGTTCTGAAGGCCCCAGTTCAGAGGCCTTCCAAAAGCCCAACGACAGCTTCAGCTTCGGAATGGCCCGGTTCAGGATCCTGCCTGCCAGTGTCCGTGTCCAGTGGAAATAAGCAGGGGTATGCGTGGCTTGCCCTGCACGAGGTAGCTGCAAAACGTGGACCCAGACGTGGGATCCTACAATTGGCACATTCGTATCGGTGGGGGAGTGAAAATTGTAATCTACATTTTCTGCCCCCGCTTGCGGACGCCTCCCTCGCAGGCGTCAGGCAACAACTGGACCAGGGCCTCTCGCCAATCAGAAGGAATGCGATTCTCGAGGGCCTTTCTGCGCTGGGCGGCCGCCATCTTCCGCATTTTCTTGGCGACCGCTTCGCGACCCTGTAGCGAAGTGCACATCGAAGCTAGGTCATCGGGTCGGCAGAAGAGAGACAACGAGCCGGTTTTCCGCGAAGCTGAGGTCCCGATGCGCTTAATGCCAGCCTCCGCTTGAGTCGGTCCATCTTGCCTCCACCCTGCCTCCCTCTCTGCCGTTTCCAAACCAGCCCCGTGCCTTCAAGTTACAATCAGCTGCTCGTGCTGCAAGCGACGTCACTATTTGATGCCTTCTGACGTCTTACAAAAATGCTGGGGAGGGCTTGTCACGTGCAGACCAATGTGCACACACTGAGGGTGATTGCATCGCGGAATGTACTGAGCCATCTGTGAGCAGGTGTCACATTTGGATTCCGTCCGGTGCTGGCCACAGGGAGGCCCAGGGAGGCTTCGTTTCGTGCAATGAGGCAATGAGGCTTTTCGGCTGCCTGTTGTCTGGTGTGACCTTGAAGCACACAAGTCCCTCTAAGGGCATGGAGCATGTGACAGCGCGTCCATGTCATTCCATGTCTATGTTCCTGCTACATAGGGCCTCCTCAGTTTGCTCCCAAACGAGCTGATCATTCTCAATTGGAGGTCAAGACCCAGAGAGCCCGTCTTGCGCCGCAGCATCAGCCCATGCTGATAACCTGTGTGCCGACAGTACTGAGTACTTGTACCGCATTGAGCGTTGTGTCATTATTTTCTGTCACTGCTAGACATGGTGCAGATTCGGGAGTATCTCCACACCGACAGACGTCTGCGTGCAGCCCACGCGCACGTTTGTTTGCGCAGCTGTTAATGCGTCCATGGCGCACTAGCTTCGAGCTATCATCGCGCAGAAAAGTGGGATGTTGGTTATTCTCAATAGATGGTTCGTCGTGACAAGTTCATTTTTCTTGTACAGACAATAATGATGAAAGTTAGCCTCCGAGCCTAGTAGAGTTATCCCAAAAGAATGCGATATCTTGGAGGATGAGGGGGGACGAGCTACGAAAATACTTTTGTTGGGACAAGGTTGTTCCTTGGATTCCTTAGATTATTTTATGAAAATGCATGTGAGTTAGGACTTGAAATTTGAATTAAATTCTTTCTCTAAGTTTCAACGGAATGTTTCTTCATGACAAGATTGAAGAGTTTAGGGGTTAGGGATGGTGCTTGTCCCTCCCAATGGCCCTATTCAAGCAAGTTCTGTGAGCCGTATGTTGGGATTTTCCATATATGTCATCATATACAAGGTGGCTTCAGAAACGGCAGCTAGACACGACCAGATCTGATTCATCCATATAACCCATCATGCGTTTGTCCCACTAGGATCACGAGCATCATGAGTATCATGAACTATCATCCGAATCATTGGGGATTGCCCTATCTTGCTTGTAGAATTACGTGGATGCAAGATTTATTACAATTCACCAATTTACGTTGTGTTTGGGTCCGCCGAGAATGCGAGAATCGTGAGCATCATCTGAGTCACTACCTCTTGCACCGAGGATCTCATATTTGGCATTCTCAAACCATTTCACACCCCGGCCACGCGCTTGCATAAAATCTCGCAACCCAAGCTCTCACCCCGCATTCTTGACATATGCAGGACTCTCAATCTTTATTGTCACGCCCCCACTGACATGCCGCACTCACACACGCACGCCCCACACTCTCACAGCCCGCGCTCTCACATCTCCAAAACCTCATACCACATGCGTATCTCACGCGCAGGAACAACCGCCATCAGATCACTTCATGCAGACATGTGAGGACTCAAACTGCAACAGCACCCTCCAAGCTCCCAAAGTTCTCCGGTTTGTGTTGGGCCTGCAGCCCCCTGTGAAATCGAAACCCGGGCCCTTCGCTACGTGGTCGAAGCCTTGCAGGTTGAAGGGGTCTTCAGGTCTTGGCTTTGTGGGCACTCGGACTCAAGGCTTTAAAAAAATGGAGCTGGCGTGGCGCACAGCGGAGTGAGGGCGCAGGTTCTCCGAGCTTTGGTTGAGAGCAAGTTGGAGCCTTCTGGCAAATGCTGTACTCATAGTATAGTTGCTATAAACTCTAGAGCCGCAACATTTTCCCGGTAGTTCGTATACTGGGATACAAACGTAGAGAAATGAGCGGTGGGTAGTTGCAGAAGCATCGGACGCCATGCCTCGAGCCTTCAGAGGGCCCATGGGCTCAATGCGCTCCAGGCTTCAATGCCACCCTGAGACCGTCACCCGCATCACAAGAACCTGCATCATGCTCTGGGGTGTTCTAAGGGATACTCGCAGCAGCAACAATCCTCAAACCCAAGACAGCTTGCAGAAGAAAAAGCCCGAAAATCCTAAACCCTCCAAGTCTACTGCTAGTATGAGACCTCCAACCTGGCCACAGCCTACTATATACCCAAACCATCCCTCCAGTCCCCAACCGCCCCAAACAGGCTTAGCCTCCCCCCCTCCCCCCTCCCCCCTCCCCCCTCCCCCCCTCTCCCCCCTCCCCCCCCCCCCTTGCCATGCCCAACCGTGGCCACTGGTCCCGGGCGCCGCTGGCGACGCCCTTGCCGCTGTCGCCCGGAGCCCAGTGATTTTGCTCTCAGTGCCTTGCGAGCTCACAGGGTTTATACCGGGTGTAGCGATGAGGGTTTAGGCGGTTGAGGGTGTGGGGTGGGGGATTGCGAGGGAGTTTGGGAGCAATGGGGCTTCAGGGGTTAAGGATTTAGGAGTCTTTGTTGGGGCAGTTTGGGCGGGTTGGTGGTGCTCTCACGGCTTCTTGTATGTTTCGAGCACGATGTGGAGCTTCCAACCCTGCCGCAGAAGCCCAACAAATGCCCACGCCCTGACTCAACCGAGAGGCTCAGGGGAGGACGCCGGGAGCCCGAGCCCGGACCTGGAGGTGAGGGCCTCGCGTTTTGTATTTTGTTGTTTGTGGTGTTTCGTTTTTTCATTTTTTTTTGGGGGGGGGAGGGGGGGGGGTTGGACGCTTTGTTTGAGTTTAGGAGTTTCGGGATTTCGGGGTTTGGGGGTCTGGGGCTTTTGACAGACTCGCGGCTTCTAAGTAACCTGTAGCGGGTTTCGAGAGCTTCGGATTCAGTTGAACCATTGGTGTGGGCTGTGCCCGCCCTGCAACTCCCGGGCCAAAAGCCCCGACCAAGTTGAAGAGGCCAGGGGAGCAATCCCAAGGCCGAGGCACCCTTTGAAAACTCCTCTGAAAACCCTCTCTGAACGGGATCACAAAGAAGTTTCCCTAAACCCTAAACCCTAAACCCTAAACCCAAAACCCTAAACCCGAAACCCTATAAACCCAAAACCCCTGTGAAGCCCTAAGCCCTAAAGAATTCTTACAGCAAACAGAATGACATCCTACAACAAAACAGAGAAATAGAACAACACAAGGCTTTAGGAGTCGTGCATGGGCTTTCAAGTAAGTCGATCCTTTGGACGCCCTGTACAGACCGCAGAACTGCTTTGAGTCCCCGGCACCAAGAAGTATATTCTGCAAACAGGATAGGGGCAGCGCGGATGCGGGCGCAAGGCGTGGGGCCGAGGATGCTGACTGGTCTGGGTTTTCTTCTATACGCAGGCTCACAAAATATGGGTGCCCCCCCCCAACGTAAGTTGATCATGCTTGGACTCCCTACATAGAGCGGAGGGAAGGAGTTACATAGGAGCCTTCCGAAGCCGGAACACTGGAGCGAATCAACGGGCTCCAGGGGCCCGCGCCAGCCAGTGTTTCATGCCCCGTAAGCTGATCATTTGGACCGCCGGATCATCTCCTCGTTGGTCAAGTTGACGGGATCAGGTTTGGTCATTGTTAATACAGGGGCCTTAGTAATTAGAATTAGGTTTTGGGACCCATGATATCACACTTATCATAAGAAACCCCCCCAAAATAGTTTCAGTAATCATTCAACTAGGCCCCGACCCAAAACCCAAAACCCAACACCCTAAACCCTAAACCCCAAGCCCTAAACCCTAAGCCCTACACCCGAAACCCTAAACCCTAAACCCTAAACCCCAAGCCCTAGACCCTAAACCGTTCTTGTTGCCTTGTCGCTCCTGGGAGGTCGATGCGCTGAAGGCAAGTCTGGCTCGAAGGGCACTCGGCACTGAGGCCCGGAGAGGTTTAGGTTTTAGGGTTTAGGGTTTAGGGTTAGGGTTCAGGGTTTAGGGCCCTTTTAGCCTTGGAGAGAGAATTGTCCCATCTCAAGTGGTGCTTATTCGAGTAGGGAAGTTTGAGTGCCATCTTTGAAGGCATTGACCAAGCAATCTGGCACAGGATAAACCGGAACCCTAAACCCTGAACCCTATCAGGCCCTATCAATATCCTAAACCCTAAACCCTATCAATCCTGATCCCTAAGCCCTAAGCCCTAAGCCCTAAACCCTAAACCCTAAATCCTGAACCCTATCAATATCCCAATCCCTAAAACCCTATAAACCTCAGGAGGCGGAGATGGGTTTACGTTCCGGACGCTTCAGGGGCTCAGGTGTGGATATCAGCGGTCTGCGGTCTTGGATCTAGAGGTTTAGGCGACGATTTAGGGTTTAGGGTTGAGGGTTTAGGGTTGTAGTGATCAAAGGCTGCAGCAGTGGCAGCTGTCGTACTATCCGGTTGACAGTCGCCATGGTTCGTCTTGCGATTTTGTTTGTGATTGCGGCCCCATCACAGAGGACTTTTCATTGGCGCCACTACGACGGAAGCTTCAAAGATAGGTTGGATCCAGGCCTGTTCCCCGCGTCAGTGGAGGGAAGCGGCTGCCTTGCTGGTGCCACGTAGGTCGGCATATCATGTCCAGACTGTCCTCATACGCAGTAATTTTCTTTGATCTCTGACCGTTCGAGGGAAACCCTCACAGCCAGGCCTCCGCAGAAAGCTGCTGTGCAACGGCGCGCGGCGTCGAAAGCGCCGCCGTGGCGCTGGCTCAGGCGCCGTGCCAAGCCTGAGCAGAAGGTGACTTTATATATTTTTAAATGAGGGTTTAGGGATTAGGGCTTAGGGTTTCGGGTTTCTTTTTAAGGCGTCTATCGGAGTTTTAGGCTTTCAGTGTCTGCGGTCCTGGAGGAGCCAGCAGGTTCTCACTCCAAGTGTACGGATCAAGCATTTGAGGGATTGCAAAGAAGCCACAGAGCTTGTATCTGTAGGCGCCAGAGGTTGCAGTTCCCGTTTTGGGCTGGTCTGAACGGATTGTCAAGTCCAAGAAACAGAGCTTTGTTTCTCCACGGTATCCATTCAAGAGCAGTTAAACCCTTCAACCCTAAACCCTAAACCCCATAATGCTGCCAGGCCGGCCTGATTAGTGTATGCATCTTTCAGAAAACTTGGCTCTAAAAAAGGGGGGGATGATTTCAGGGGGATGTTCCTAATACGCGTGTTTATCATTAGGCAGATGTGTCTAGTAAAGAGGGGGGAAAGGATCCAGAAGGTTTTGCCTTGGTTGCTATCTCTGCTTTTTGCGGGGCTCCCGGTTCCGCTTGCAGCAGGATCGATGCTTTGCTGCTCGACGGGATTTATGCAAGATGCGTTGGCCCAGACCTGCAAAGGCGAAAGGATTCTAGTTTGCCTCTGGAGGTCTTCCAAGTTGTAGCCTCTCAGCCCGAGTCGTCAGCTTCTCAGTTGGATGTCGGCTGCGGCATTGGGGATACTGTCGGCTGCACGTTGGGCGCGCGTGCTTGATCCAGCTGGAACGGCTCCGATTCATCGTGTGCCACGAAGTTTTGGTCCAGGTTAGCCGCCCGCAGAGCCCGGAGTCCCCAACCAATTTCTTGTACAGTAATGCTGCACACGACAGCGTCCGAAATTCGTTGCGGGGCCATGCCTGGCGCAGAAAGCCGGGCCTCCGGTTTTGCTGCTGCCGTGCGTCTTTCCTTTTCCAACACCGTGGACGTGGCCATGGAGGGGACTGCTACTGCAAGTGCCCCGGAGCAACAGTTAAGGTGAAAGAGAAGCCGCACACGGATTTGATGTGACGCGTGAAGCTCGTCATAGCTCGTACATGCAAGTGTCTCACTGACTGCTGCCCTCGCGCAGGTGATGTTATCGGAGCAGTGAAGGCGTGCCTGGCTGAAGAACTTGGGTCAACCGGTCAACTCAGCTTTCCAAGTTTGGGTCAAGTACAAAGTAGTTAAGCTTACATCCGAGGAAGTTGCCTGGAGAGCTTTGGCACGGAAACGTCTTGCTGTCACGCGGCACGCGGAAGTTCACGGACACAGACGAGATGCTGCCGCAGAGGGAGGCTGGCAATGAGTTCCTTGCGAGGAGCACTTGAGAAGATATCCCACCAAATGTTGCTTTCGGGCATGCGCTTTTTGCGATCTCAGGTTGGCCCTGACCAACTACAGCCGCTTACATTCAGCCGGCACTCCGCTCCAAATCCCAACAGAGCTCGGCGGCATTACCATCCCGCAGATTCAGGCCCTTCAGCTTTTGCTGGCCAGTTTTTGTCCTAGCGGCGCGTTCTGGTGAGTGGCACTTGCCGACGAGGCCCTACTCGCCTTCATGCAGGGTCTGGTCCTCATGGCTGCTATGTAGTCCGTCGCTGTCACAGTTCTGGCTGTTCCACTTGCGCAGTGTACGCTCTGCAGTTTTCTCTTTGATAGTGCAAGGTATGGTCCAGTGTTGGTTTGGCACCTTTGGTGCAGAGTGCGGGCAACCTTTGTCCTTCGAGTGCTTCAATCTGCGCCTTAGAGAGCAAACGCTTTCGCAGCATCATCGATTCATCGCTGCGTTGATGCCCGGGACCCAAGGTATCATGCGGACTACTGGATCTTGCGGCCGGCGACTGCAGGAGAGCGCAGAACAGAACATGACGGAAGGGCTGCAGAGCTGCTGGTGGCAAATGCACGCAGTCAAAGCAAAACGCAGAAAGCCGGCTTCCGTGGCCACAGGAGCAGGTGGGCGCGGCTGCAGCTATGTGGAGTCCCGCGGCAACCGCGTTGAGCAGCCCTTGCGAGTAGCCGCATGCAGCAGAGGGTTCCGTCAACTCTCAGGGCGCATTGCTCCTCATCTCAGGCTAGTGGCCGAGAGCACAGAAGCGCAACGTCCCACGTGGTTTGTATCACATGCCTGGAAAGAACCAATCGTGCCTTGATGCATCCTTGCTGTTTGTCCTTTCCAGAGAAGCTTGAACCCTTTCAGCATGATTGCTGCAAACTCTCAACTCTCCAGCAGCCCTAAACCCTAAACCCTAACCCTAAACCCTAAACCCTAAACCCTAAACCCTAAATCAGGTGCTGTTCCTCCGGTGCTTGCTCCGCCACGCGGCCGTGCGAGACTTGCGCGGAGACCCTGCATACTGGGTCTGTGCCTATGCGAACAACCAGCACGCTCCCAGGCAGCCTTGAGCTGGGGGAGTCGTATTATAAAGCGATAGGCCTTAATCATTCGAACAGGGTCTTGGGGATTCCTTATTATGATCATAGGATAATGTACCCCCAAGAATTACCCAATTCTATTTATGAAGGCCCCTATATAACCAACTCTTGACGTTTCGCAAAACCCTCTACCAAGGCACTGGGCGATGCCATCCCGAGAGGCCGCGTCACCCCTGGGTAGTTTCTAAATTGGGGCGCCGCTTAGGGTCCTTACCACAGGGGTGCCGTGCTATATTGGGGAGCTAAAAACGGACCCCGATTCAGAGAACCACATTCGGCAGATCCTGTAATGAATTGATCACATGGTTCGTAGCAGTCTCCGTTGCACGGGCATCGTACGAGAGACTCTTCAGACAAACACAATCCAACGGACCCCGCTCGAAATCCCGACATGACCCCAACCAACAAATGCGTCCGACAGATCCGCGCAAATCATCATTTTACTTGGCGATGATGCTCTGCCGTGGAGTGCTGCTGGTGCTGGATGCTGCAGCCACGCCCTTTCAGAGAATCTGGTGCCACTCGGCGCGTCTGTGTGGTGCCTCACGGTGCTTCCGATTTCCCGTCTGCTCTGCTATTAGCAGCCGGTTGTTCCAGCTCAGGCTGCTTCGAGGAAGCAATTGCAGCGGCCCGGCTGTTGTGATTGCTCTGCCTCTGCATCGCTCAGGTCATTTAGATGAGTCTGAAGTCATAGATCTTCACAGCAGGTTGAAAACTCCGCCAAGCTTTTTCTGGACGTGGCGGCGACAAGCGGCGATGTGGCCCACATCCTTACGGACCGTGGGTAAATGTGGGTAAATCTGTAGATTGTTGGAGAGCACAGCCCCGCTTGCCTAGGTCCCAGGTGATGCTTTCCAGCAAATGGCGCATGTTTGCAGCGTGCAGTTGTGCTTCTCATCCCTAAACCCTAAACCCTAAACCCTAAACCCTAAACCCTAAACCCGAAACCCTATCAACCCTATCAACCCTATCAACCCTATCAACCCAATCAACCCTATCAACCCTATCAACCCTATCAACCCTATAAACCCCATAAACCCTATAAACCCTATAAACCCTATAAACCCCATAAACCCCATAAACCCCATAAACCCTATAAACCCCATAAACCCCATAAACCCTATATATATATATACCCTTAAACCCTATAAACCCTCTAAACCCTATAAACCCTATAAACCGTATAAACCCCATAAACCCCATAAACCCCATAAACCCTAAACCCTAAACCCGAAACCCTAAACCCTAAACCCTAAACCATCCTGCAGGATGGCCTTGCGGGAAAGGAGGCCAAGTTGCTGCCCCTGTTGGGGCTTCTTGCCAAATCCCGGCGTGAGGAACTTTTCCCGGCCAATTTACTGGAGCACGGACTCGGAGTCCGCATTGAGATTGCCGAGGCTACCAGGGAGGAAGACAAGACGCGAATCTTGAACAGCATTGCCTGCCCACGGGCAGGAACACAGGCCTTGGATGAGGCGCCAAACGGGGAGCACGACAACTATGGAACCGTGAATCGAGCATTGAGGAGCCACTTTGCGTTGAGCAGCCTCTATGCATGCTACGCTCAAGACGCAGACCCGACCAATTTCCTGTCTGCACTCCGTGCGGACGCTGCCCGCCTTTCCGTGCAGCTCTCGTTGACTGGCTGCAAACACTTCAGAGATGCACAGATGCGAGCGCTCTTGGCTCATTTGCCAAGAACTCTTCTGTGCCTCCGCCTGGACCTTGGCCACACAGGCCTGCAGACCATCGCAGTGGACGGCTTTTGCTGCCAGCTGCGCACACTGCAGCTTCGCTTCTCCGGGGCGTCGCTGCGAGAAGCTGGTGGCATAGCATCTCTCCTCGGCACGGCCCAAGCTTCCTTGCTCCACTTGGAGCTTTGGTTTGCAGCCTTGCCGATGCTTGAAGAGCTCAGTCTCAGCGAAGCTTTGCTCCTTGCCTGCAAGATCCCAAAAAAAGCTTCGAAGAATCTTGAAGACGCTTCGTAGCTTAAGGCTGAAGCTTCGCTTGGAGGAGTTGTCTCTCCACGTCCAAGGCTGCCCCAAGGCCCGCGATCTGCTGCAGTATGTTTCTGAGATTTCGTGCTGGTTCAGGGTTGAGTGCTCCCTGAGAGGTTTCCCAATCTTCGAAGCAGGCATTGCGCCCTGGCATGACGATGTGTCCGTGCCCATGCAGCGCAGCGATGTATGGATTTCGGTTGGCCGTGCGAAGTCGGAAGCCAGGCACGATGCCGCCCGAAAGCTCCAGAGCCGTGACACGGACTTGCAGATGTGGCTCTGCATCGAGGACTGCGCTGGGTTTTCTACCAGGGGATGACTAGCCTCTGCATGCTTCTGCAGAAAACGCACACGTCTGGGAGGATGCCGCGACGTGGATACAGCAGCTCCGGCGTCTGCTGCCCAAGCACGAGAAGCCGCTGGATGGCCTCCGCTTCCAAGGCCCAGGCCTCAGACGGCTGCTTTGCAGGCGTCCGCTTTCCACTGGTCAGGCACCGGCTCGGAGAAAGGGCAAAGCACGAGAAAAACAGAATCCGAGATCGACCAGGAGCTAAAGCTTCCCTAACCCCTTAACCCCTAGCCCTTAATCCTAAACCCTAAGCCCTAACCCTGGAGCAGGACTTGCCGTTTCCATGCAGCCACGGGCGCTGCCCACGCTTCCATGCGAACCTGCGCCTTGGCTTCATCTCTGTGAATGCCTGGTTATATAAGTGTCGTGGTCCTTCCAGGAATGGATATTGCGACGAGCACTTCTTCTGCAGCCTCCGGCGGAGTGTCTTCAACACCCTCCAAGAGGCCCGGCCCATGGCTCATTAGCGCGGTTTAGGGTTTATGTAGGCGCAAAGAAATCCCACGGCTTCTTGTTTGCTAGAGGCTCGGCGTTGGTCCGAGTTGGCTCTGATCTTTTTCGTGCAAGCAGCTGCCGACATCGAGTCCAAAGGCCAGCGTCCGATCTGGTTTTGGGTGGACGTTTGAGCTAGCCTACAGAATCAGAAAAGCTCAAGCATCCGACCGAAAGAAAACAAGCAACTTCGGTGATAGCTGCGGTTTGGGATACAAAGGCCTGCTGCTCCTGATTCTGCTATCCCTGCACCTTGGCGAACATGTATACAGGTTCGCCAGCATTTGCGAACCATCGCTAGGCCTTGAACATGCATCGTCCAAGTGGCATGGTGCACGCAAAACATCCCAGGTATCCGGTTCTTGTCTTTGGCGTGGCGAACGAGAGCGGCTTCTCTGTGTCCTGGCACTGTGGGAGTTAACCTCTCGTGTATCCCCGCTCTGCATGCGGGACTCGCGGGACCGTTTGAGGTCTCCTCGCTGTCCACGCTGTTTCTGGCTCTGCTGGTTGCCACCTTCGCCTTCGCAAGTTTCCGTTTCGACCAGATGCAGCGAGCGGCACGAGAGTTCTCTTTGTCCTCGGAGGCTTTCTACTCGAAGGCAGACACGCTGCCACAACGCATGTAATTTAAGTAGGTGCTCCCATAGTCCTGTGCCTACCAACAACAACAGGGCCCCTGCACTGGCAAAGTCATGCACAGAGGTGATGCCCAAATCTCCGTGCGTGAGCAGGTGTTGGAGGATGACGGGCACCTGTCCCACACCTCGCTGGTCTTCGGTGTAGCTGGGGACAAATATCCAAGCGTGGACCAAGTGCGGCAGGAGCATGTTTGCCCGACTTTCAGACAAAATGTACAGTAGCAGAATTAGCCAGCAAGCAGAATGCAAAGCATCAATCAAACACACCCAAACAATTCTGCAGGAGACGGTGAGCGACTTGCAGCTTGGCTGTAGGCTCCGTGCAGTGCTCCCGCTCTTCAGCACCTGCTTCCGAGGAAAAGCAGCTTTCTGTCCGCGCGGCAGCACCTTCCGAACTTTGAGCTGCTTGGGCTGCTTCTGGGAAGAGCTTCGAAGGTGTCTGGGAGCTTGAGCATCTTCCTGAGGAGCGCGGTGCGGGAGGTTGTGAGGGCAGTGGATGCAGAAGGCATGGAAGCACACCTGAAGTGCGGAGATGAGGCTCTCCTTGCTTCTGAGTGCCAAGGCACCGGGGAAGTGTCGGGATACGTTGAATCTGCACGGCAGCATGTAGGCCTTTACAAGTCTCGGCAGTTTTCAGGAGCTGTGGACATCTTGCAGTATGAGATCTACTGCAAAGACATCCTGCACATGCGGCAAACATGGAACGAGCTGAGCAGGCCCGAACGGCCCCTGCGAGTCTGTGCACGGAGCCAGTCGCCCTGCATTTCATCGTCATGGTTCATCGCCTTTGCCAGGGCTTTCCAGGGCGAAGAGCAGCCGATCCGCATCGTGGCCTTGCGAGACGGCTTCGCAGAAGAAGACAGCAAGCGCAGGTGCTGTGAAGTCGTGCTTTGCGTCGAGGGCCGCGTGCTCAGTGAGAGTGGCGCGTCGTGTGGCGTACGATTTTTTTCTCACTTCGCAGCAAGGCTACTTCGCCACCGTGCTGCTTTTGGAGCGATCTTTGGATTCCGCAGAAAGGAAGCTTGTAGGCCTCTACCGCATGGCTCCTCGGCTTGTGGACTTGTGTTTGCGTACGTATGGCGAGCGCTCATAAACCCGGAGTTAAAGACTTCACCATGACCCGGACATCACTCCGTGATTTCTTCTGTCCAAGAGTAAAGTTAAACAGAACGCAACAGAACTGCAGAAGATTCTAGGGCTCAGAATTTCGGCCTTCTGGTGGAGCCACGACCCGGCAGAGGCCAAGAAAGCAAGCAGGAAACGAAGGTGAAGAGGTCTCCGAGACCTTCTCTGTGGCTTACCATTATCCTGGGCCTGGTCAGGGCGACGGCTCTGCTCTGCAGCGGGTATTTCGCCTCACAGTACTTCCTGCGCTACGGGCCGCCGGAGCTGCGCGAGAGGCTGCCGGGGCTCGGTGCTTTGCTGAAGATTGAAGACGCGGAGGACAGATCCTGGTTCCTGGCAACCAGCCTGGCCCTTCCCTATGCCGCCCTTGTCCTTGTTTTCAGCAACTTGTCTACACTCTGACCCAGACATGCAAGGGCTTCGGAGCTTCAATGGGTTTCGCAGGGAGCTCCCTGCAGAGGTCTTCTGTTGCAATGTCCTGAGAACAGACATCTCATGTGGACCAAAACGGAAGTGCTTCCTAGGTTTTGATTTTCAGTACGAACACGAACGTGAAAAAACATGGATTTCAATCCTTTAGGCCCTGAGAAATGTTCAGCCAAAGCAGCGTCAACAAATCGTAATTACTGCGTTAGCGCTGGGGCACCGTTTCGCGGCCAAAGCGATGGCACTGCGGCACCACGTCGAGGCCAAAGCAACGAAAACAACTCGTTCATTTTAGCACTATATAGAGCCTCACTTCGAGGCCAAGGCATCGGCAATAAGTCGTATTTCTTAGCACTGGGGTTCGAGGCCAAAACAACAGCAACAAATCGTACCTCTTAAAACTGGCAAATCCTACTTCTTCTTCGCCATGGGGCACCACTTCGAGGCGAAAGCAACGGCAACAAATCGTACTCCACTTCGGCCAAAACAAATGGCAACAAACCGTACGTCTTAGCAGTGAGGGGCCGCTTCGAGGCCAAAGCAACGACAACAAGTCGTATTTTACTGGGGCACCATGTCGAGGCCAAACAACTCGTACTTCTAGCACTGGGGCACCACTTCGAGGCCAACGCAACTGCAACAAATCGTACTTCTTGGCATTGAGGCACCACTTCGAGGCCAAAACAACGGCAAAGAAATCGGCCAAGAAATACATTTGTTGCCGCTGCTTTGGCCTCGAAGCCGTGGTCCAGTGCCAAGCAGTACGATTTGTTGCGGTTGCTTTGGCCTCGACATGGTGCCCCAGTAAAAAGTACGATTTCTTGCCGTTGCTTTGGCCTCGAAGCTGTGCCTCAATGCTAAGAAGTAGGATTTGTTGCCGTCGTGGTTTCCCAGTGCGAAGAAGTAGGCCAAAGCAACGGCAGCAAATCGTACTTCAGTCTTTCTTAGAACCAAAGCAACGGCAACTAATTGTACTTCTTAACATTGGGGCACCGCTTCGAGGCTAGCGGTGTCAGAAAAGTTGCTGCTTGATCCTTCGATGTCGGCACTTCATATTGTTGAGACACAGAAGTCCCAAAGTGTCGGATGAATGACCCGCCGATAGGGAAGTTGAGACAGTTGAGCTGGATTTCGACCGTCGTGAGACAGGTCAGCTTTGTCCCATTCATGGACTCGAAGCTACGACATGCTTACGACAGTAGTTGAGGCAAAGTACTAGAGGAACACCTCGCTCAAATACTTGTCTTTTGCAAAGACTTTCCTTGCGAAACGACTGGTTAGCTTGAGGTCACGACCTTCTGCGGTGCCGCCGTCGGGTGTCCCGCAGGCCGACGTAGCAGGTTTGTGCAGCAATAGATCGGGCGTGCTCAGAGATCGTGCCAGGCTGCAGTCTTTGGTTGCGCACTGTTCAGAAGGCAATCGCAGGTGAAGGTTAGGGGAGGAAGTGCGCGGCCAAGTAATCCAGCAGACGGTCCAAATCCTTCAATTTTCAACTTGTGATGTCTTGCGTTCTTCATGACCAGCAGCAGACAATGGAGGCTGAAACCTTCCCAGATCATCTTCGAGCGGCACTTTGGAGTCCACGGCAACTGCTATGTTGTCAAGGCAAGGCTGGCGAAGCAAGAGTTCCCTGCAATCTTTGTTGGCGCGGCTCAGCTAAATCATGTCGTGCGCTTTTCTGACCTGAGCGCCTTGAAGGTCGCACTGATCCAGATAGTGACAGTGCTCGTGCAAGCCTTCGGGAAGGTGGGTTCTCATAATCTTCGGGGAGATACGCCATGTTCGCAGTAAGCGTCCGAATCAGTGCAATCCAGGACGTACAGTTGCCCCCCCACCCCCCCCTGCCAGGCACCACTTCTGGGAGGAACCGTCACATTTGCAATGTATCAGAACATCCCAGCAGCCTCGGTGCTGAAACGATGCTTCTGGATCTTCTATGTGCTGCTGACCTTCAACAGCCTGTACCCGAGTATCCTCTTTGTGCGGCCAGATTCCCGCTGGTGTCGCTATGGCTCCTCGGAGTGAGCAAGAGCGAGTAGTGAGGGGAAGTGTAGACGGTGTGTCTTCTGCAGGGGACAAAGCCGAGGTGCTGCCGTCATGGATGTGGTGATGGATCTGGGGTACATGCTCACCTACTTGCTCGCCGTGGCTCCTTGTTGACATGAAAGTAGGCAAGATTTAGATACGGCCGTGCCGAGAGTCAGATAAGCACGGCTCAGGTGAACGCCATGTCCGAGCTGACGCTGGAGACGGCCGTGCGTGGCAACTTCGGGGATGCGGAGGAGCTGGACCTCAGCAACAGCAGCTTGGGCAGAGTTGAGCACGAATGTAAGTGCCGCCAGCACTTTCGGGAAGCTCGCGTCATGTGCACTGAGGCATCAGCCCAACCTTCGCCTTCCCCTCTGACATCCTGCAGTTCCTGGCAGTGTACATCAGCCTTGCGCACACCTGTTGCGCCTGCCGCTCTGTCGAACGTGCCAGGGATCTGGGCAGTCTGGGCGGTGTGGGCGAAAGATTTGTGGAGCCAAAGCAATCGAAGCGACCAATCGTTGACAGCACGGTCTTTCCTGCCCGTCATGGCCGGCTGGTGCTGCGATGCCTCAAGGCGCTGTACTCTCCCATCCTGCTTCTGGTGCTTTTCCTGCTTCTTCGCTCTCCGGACATGTACCCTGGCCACTCCGGCGACTTCAGCTGCTTCCCGTGCCGCTGCTCTGGGTCAAGGTGGGGGAGGCGCCTGGAAAGCTGCCGATTAGCAGCCGTACTCCGGCAGTCGGAGCTGGCCCTGACTGGTTTGCACAGCATCGCCGAAGGAGCGTTCGACCCCCTGGGCTGCGGTGTGCGGCGCCTATCCCTCTCCGGGGGGTGGTTCAGCTCGCTGCCGGCGAAACGATTCCGGCGCCTGAGCTGCCTTGATTCCCTGGGCCTGCACAGAGGACGGCTCCGGCACCTGGCGGATGAGGCCTTCGATGGCCTGGCGAAGCTGCGCCTCCTGTCGCTCAGCCAAAACGATCTGAGCGAGCTCCCCACCCAGGTTCTCAAACCGCTGCTCAGCCTGGAGCAGCTCCTTCTGGGTGGCAAGCGCAACAAAGATGGCAATGCAATCGTGATGGGGAACAGGCTGGTGAGTTTGCCGAACTTCTCGCAGAACCTCTGGCTGGAAGTGTTGGATGTCAGCGAGAACCAGCTGACAACCTTGGAGGACGCCAACTTCGCGCAGCTCCACAGACTCCGGATCCTGGACCTCGGCCACAACAAATTCCTCAACGTTCCCGACCACGCCTTTGCAGGCTTGACCTCCCTCCAGACGCTGTGTTTGAGCGACAACAAACTGCCGAAGCTCCCGGAAACGGTCTTTCAGGGCTTGACCTCCCTTCAGACGCTGGATTTGGGCTGGAACAAGCTGGAGCTCCCGGAGGCGGTCTTCCAGGGCTTGAGCTCCCTTAAGACGCTGGATTTGAGCGTGAACAAGCTAGAAAAGCTCCCGGAGAAGGTCTTCCAGCCCTTGACCTCCCTGCAGACGCTGAAGTTGCGGACGCACGCGCTAAGAAAGAACCCGTGGGTCTTCCAGCCCTTTTATTCCCTGCAGACGCTGAAGTTGGGAACAAAGCCCCCGGAAGCGCTCTTCCAGGGCTTGACCTCCCTGGAGACGCTGGATTTGAGCAGCAGCAAGCTGACAGAGCTCCCGGAGACGGTCTTCCAGGGCTTGACCTCCCTTCAGACGCTGGATTTGGGCTTGAACAAGCTGGCAGAGCTCCCGGAGGCGGTCTTCCAGGGCTTGAGCTCCCTTAAGACGCTGGATTTGAGCATGAACAAGCTGGCAGAGCTCCCAGAGACGGTCTTCCAGGGCTTGAGCTCCCTGGAGACGCTGGATTTGGGCTCCAACTGGGGCTCCAACAAACTGACGGAGCTCCCGGAAACGGTCTTCCAGGGCTTGAGCTCCCTTAAGACGCTGGATTTGCAGGACTACAACAATCTAGCAAAGCTCCCGGAGAAGGTCTTCCAGCCCTTGACCTCCCTGCAGACGCTGAAGTTGGGGATAAACAAGCTAACAAAGCTCCCGGAGGCGGTCTTCCAGGGCTTGAGCTCCCTTAAGACGCTGGATTTGAGCATGAACAAGCTGGCAGAGCTCCCAGAGACGGTCTTCCAGGGCTTGAGCTCCCTGGAGACGCTGGATTTTCGCGAGAACAAGCTGGCAGAGCTCCCGGAGACGGTCTTCCAGGGCTTGAGCTCCTTGCAGACGCTCGATTTGGGCTTGAACAAGCTGGTGGAGCTCCCGGAAACGGTCTTCCAGGGCTTGAGCTCCCTTAAGACGCTGGATTTGAGCATGAACAAGCTGGCAGAGCTCCCAGAGACGGTCTTCCAGGGCTTGAGCTCCCTGGAGACGCTGGATTTTCGCGAGAACAAGCTGGCAGAGCTCCCGGAGACGGTCTTCCAGGGCTTGAGCTCCTTGCAGACGCTCGATTTGGGCTTGAACAAGCTGGTGGAGCTCCCGGAAACGGTCTTCCAGGGCTTGAGCTCCCTTAAGACGCTGGATTTGAGCATGAACAAGCTGGCAGAGCTCCCAGAGACGGTCTTCCAGGGCTTGAGCTCCCTGGAGACGCTGGATTTTCGCGAGAACAAGCTGGCAGAGCTCCCGGAGACGGTCTTCCAGGGCTTGAGCTCCTTGCAGACGCTCGATTTGGGCTTGAACAAGCTGGTGGAGCTCCCGGAAACGGTCTTCCAGGGCTTGAGCTCCCTTCAGACGCTGGTTTTGGGCTTGAACAAGCTGGCAGAGCTCCCGGAGGCGGTTTTTCAGGGCTTGAGCTCCCTTAAGACGCTGGATTTGGGCTCCAACAAACTGACGGACCTCCCGGAAACGGTCTTCCAGACGATGAAGTTGTCCGGCAACAAGCTGGCAGAGCAAGTGGTTCACTGTGTTGAGGCCACCTTGAGCTGTCAGAACTGCAGCTGCGAGGCTTCTTGAGGCCACAATTTTTTGCGATGCATGGTGTTCCCTTAGTTGTTTTTTTAAAGTATCTGTATTTATTTGCCGTAATTCAGATTGCCTAGAAAGGGAATTGCACGCGTTTTCATCTTCTGCAGGGCCGCGCCTGCTCGTGAATCTTCTCAAAAGCCTGAGGCAACACGACACAACTGCCGGAGACGGAAACCTTCAAAAAAACATGTGGGCTATCGTCTAAACTCCTATTACCCCCTTAATATCCCCTACAGTAGTCCCCTACCAGCAATCCCCCAAAAGAACCCCTTTTTGAGGAGTTTATAGACTATGTGAAACAGGGTTTATATTACTGCTGTTGGTGAGTGTATATAAGGTTCCTTTTTAATATTGGTGAGTGTATATACCTGGTGTCCTTTTGGGGGTACAAGAAATATATACCCTAATCCCTTTTTGAGGAGTTTATAGACTATATAGCTACACAGCTCAGTGGCAACTCCAGGCCTGCGAAGCTCTCTGCTCCTCGGCCTTCCCGAGGTCATCTCTTCAAGACGAGACGCAGGATCCTCGAGTTTAGGGTTTAGGGTTTAGGGTTTAGGGTTTGGGGTTTTCGGGTTCAGGGGTCTAGGGGTTTTGGGTTTAGGTTTCATTTTAAGGATCCTCCGCTACTGGGTTTCCTGACTGCGTTTCACGGGAGACACGTTCAAGTAAAAGACTCACCTGTGAGAAATTCGAAGGGGATGGTCCTGCACTTGCCGAGCGGCTTTTGATGGCGATGATAGATAGAAAATCGCATGCGCACTTTACGTTTTTGTTCGAGGCAAATATGAGTTAACCCTAAGCCCCTAAGCCCTTAAGCTCCAAACCCTAAACCCTAAACCCTAAACGCCTAAACCTCTAGACCCTATGATACTGTTGTACCTGATATACCAAGTGGCCTAGCGGCAACCGCCGGCACTGCCATTTTGCGTTAGAGCTTAGATGGACTTGATGCGGATGTCCAAGGATGCCCAGGATTTTAAGCCTTAGCCGCCAAGCTCCAAGCCCGAAAAACTAAACCCTGAACCCTGAACCCTAAACCCTAAACCCTAAACCCTAAGCCCTGAACCCACAACCCTAAACCCTGGACCCTAAAGCCTAAACCATGATGATAGAAAGTCGCAGGTAGCTGTCCCTCTCTCCTACTAGTAAGTCTGATGTAGCACCTAGAAGGTACCGTGAACTCTTCGAAGCTCCGTTGCGCGCAGTGCTTGGGATTCTAAGGCGAACAGGATGACATCCTACAACAAAACGGAGAAATGGGAAAACAGAAAGTTTTTGGAGTCGTATGGCTGTCAAGTAAGTCGAATACAGGGGCCTTAGCAATTAGAATAGGGTTTTGGGGCCCATTACACGAAAAAAAACTGAAAATAAGGAACCCCTAAACTAGTTGGGGGTTCGACTTTTGGGGGCTCATGGGGCTTAGAGGATCTCTGGAAGTTTTTGAGCGCGGGGGCCGCGTCCCCGAAGTTCCTCAGCCCCAAGGCCTTTTTTGGTGTTAGCGTTTGCTTCCTAAACCCTAAACCCGAAACCCAAAACTCTAAACCCGAAACCCTAAACCCTAAACCCTAAACCCTAAACCCTAAACCCTAAACGCTAAAGCCTAAACCCTAAACCCTATACACCCGGGAACCGGCGCAGGCAAGCCGAGAGTCCAGAAATAGCTCGGTGGTTTCTCGAGATCGGCCGTCTCTCGGCTGTCACCTTTGGGACGGGGCTATAGGGTTTAGGGTTTAGGGTTTAGGGTTTAGGGTTTAGGGTTTATAGGGTTTAGGGTACGGGGGCAACCGAAAGGGAACAGGGAAAGAAACCAACCCTCAACAGTTGCCTAAATGGATTTCCCAGATCGAACCAGAAACAAGAACACCCACCCCTACGGGGACAGGATAAGGGAGAAGGGACGGGACTACTCCAACCCGTTAAACCCAACCCCAGGCGTACGTACTTTTTCAACAAAAGCTGACGGCTCTTGGCCATCTTGAGCCAAACAAGATTTCCGGGTTCATTGACCCTTCCAACCCCCAACACTAACTTCTTTCTACAATACCAGTTGCAGCTCCGCACTCCCCCTAGGATTTCCTAGGACACATTGGAGGTGCAGATCTTTTGGCCAAAAACTGCCATTAAGGCAGCAGCCAGCTGCTTGAAATGCACAATATGGTTTTACGTCATCCAGGACGAAATTATAGCACATTGGCTAACCCACTAACCACAGAGAATCTTTTTCCACCATGATCCTCTTATCATTGAAGACTCTTCGGCCTTCTTTACCACAAACCGTGGTCTTCGCTACGCGAAAAACTACTGACTTCTACTATCAGGGATTTCCATACCCTTAATAGTAACCACCACATTGTCAGCACATTGGCTGTTCCAGCGCGCCTGTCTCCAGAAAGAGAAAAACCATCCCTTCATCCATACCATCCAATCACTTCTTTTTCCGATTGTTGGCAATTTTGAGGTGAAGTTGCAGCAGAATATACTCCAGGTCCGAAACTGTAAGAACAGGATCCTGCACGCACCTTTGAATTGAGGATACCAATCCTTCTCTCTTTGCGTCCTCAATCGCTTGGCAAGATTGACCCAGCTCCGCATTCACAGTGGTAGACGCTGGTGCATCCGCATCAGATGGACGATCCTTTTCCTCAGGACCTTGCACCATTACCACCTCTTCCTTCTTGGGACTTTGACTTTTCTCCTTCTTCTTTGTCTTTCCACCGACATTTGACTTTGCGCGCATTTTCGAGGCTTTTTCCACTGCAGAGACCACCACATTGGATGATGATCCACCCTTCTCAATGATCGCCGGCATCTTCTTCGGCTTTGGAACCATGAGAGTGTAAGGATCTTCGATAGCTGCAGCTTTCCTCTTTTTTTTTACCTTTTTCATCTCCTCCTCAACGGCAACCTCCGTCTCCGAAGTCTCAACCACTTCTTTTTCTGCAGGAATATCCTTGCTGGACTCCCTTTCTAGGGACCTCTTTTTGCCTCTTTTGGAATCTTTCTCTTCTCCCAAATTGGCTCGCTCGTACCATATCCTCAGGTCATTGACCCATTCTTCCACCTCCGCGAGCGAAACATCATACGACTTCACTACTTCGTGAAGTTCCAGCACGGACAACATACCATTGGTCCACGAAACCCATTCTTGATCCATTTGGTCAGTATCTCCAGTGAACTTCAGGAGTTTGAACAATGGGTCCGCCTCTGCTCGAGCCAAATCTGGCTGGCCCTTGGACAGAATATCGCCTCCATCAACAGTTCCGTCATTTTGGTATCATCGTCATAAACCATAAAATCCTCCTCACCATCATCGAACTGTTCAGGAGAGATCTCCTTTTCTCCACCATTTGCACCAGAACTTCTCCTTGGACCATCCCTTGGGGGCGTCCTTGGAGACCTTGGCCTCTGTTCATCCAGCGGAACACCATGCTCGAAGACACACCTGTCACCATAACGACACTTCCCAGACCGAGCAAACTGGATGCACCTCACACCAGTTGCATCATGCGAGAACGCACAATCCTTTCCAGCGAAACAGTCTCTCCCTGCCACATAGTATTTGCACCAATACGAATGTAGCACCACATCATCTTCTGAATGGATGAATTTGCAGTCTTCACCAAATTTGCAGCGATCTTTCCCCTTGCTGAACCAATAGCAGAAGCCTTTCTTCCTCTTCTCCAAGCGCTCTGCCTCGTACCGATCCATAGGGCGATTCTGCTCTACATGAACATTGCCATGTACCTGGGAACTGCTCCCTTCACCCAAAGTGCTATCAGTATTTGATGCTTGGAGTACAGCTGGAAAACCTGGCCTTGGTCCTACCACCTTCATGATTGGTTTTCCGCCAGCTCCTGAGCCATGCTGAGACGATCCAAAAACATTGAACATCTTCGTGAAGGCCTTTCTAGTGCCAATCTTCTGCACCCTTTTGATTGGACGTTTCATTGCTCCAACCTTGCATCCAGATGCGTTCAAACGACACAACCTCCTATACCCAGCTCTATATCCCTTCTTCCAAAGAGCCATAAGAATTTTAGAGGCAGTAACATTCTCCACCTCTACCTTTTCCAACGGTCCCTCACTTCCCGGAACAAACCCATCCATATCTGAAGACCTTTCCATCTTTTTTGACACCACTTCGTCAAGGTAGTCTTCCGAGATCCAGGGTAAGTTCCTCTTAGAGGAAGGATTGTCATCATTGTTTGGTCCTTCACCAGGATACCCTTTTGTGCTGTCAAAGATCTTACCAGTAGTGCGGTCCTGCATAGAGAAATTAGACGCCACGCGGGAGTACACTGACCACAAGAAAATCCTTGTGTCCGCCAGTCTTGATGACCCACTGGATGTCTCCTCTTCCGGAGAAACTTCTGGCGCTTTGCCATCCCTTCCAGTGTCACCAATTGTCTCACCTCCAGCATCTTCAATGGGGATAAGGGATTCATTGGTCCCTTGATCAAGTACCGCATCCTCCGGTCCAAGAACTTCCAGCACCGCTGTCGAAGGATCCACTTCTTCATCAGCATCGTCGTCCATCCTTCTCCAGAGAACCTCCAATTGATCTGCACAAGTCGCCGCCTGAAGGAACTCCATCAACCGGGCCCTCCCGCGCTGCCAGAGAAATTCCGAAACCATCACTGACCCTTGGGCTCCGAGGGTAAGGAACGGATGAACCAATTTGGCTACCCTCGCCATAAGTTCAATGTGAACTTCCATGCCTGGACTGCGACTCCAATCATAGGCAATTGCCTCCATAGCAGTTCCAAACTTGTCAGTATTTTTGAATTCCCCTTCCAGACCAGGAGATAACAATGCACCCATCACCGAAAGAGGATAATTTCCCACCGCCGGCAAGCACGGATTGTCATGGAACGAATGATGCAAATCACCATAGTATCCTTGATCTCTCCTTTGAAAAAGGAGTGCTCCAGTCCCTAGCTGGGCATTCATTTCATCCACTTGAACCATTTCAGCACATATCCTCT